GATAGGTAACGCACACACAACCCGCAGTTTTGGCAAAAAAGGATCCCTTTTTTGATGCATTACCGTAAAATTTCAATGTCACCATTATTCGTTTTCCCTTTTTTTGGGCAAACTATTACGAGATAAATCGCTGTCGATAAATTATCGACAGGCGGCAGGCGGAGCTCGGACTCGATTCACAGCGGGTTTTCCCGACTGCATCCCCCTTCACCAGGGAATATATTTTTTATTTTTCTAGGGGATCCGTCGCTCTTTGTGTGCCTGCTTAGTTCACTTTCATACTGTTGGTTCTATTGAATTTATTGCAGTTTGTTTTTCAATTTTATAAATGGCATTTGCGCCCCCTTTTTCGCAGTACGGAAGTGAGTTATTGTCTTGCTGCATGGCACGTAGACGCATTCAAATCGGAAGTAATTATGGTGGAACATGGGCATTATGAAGAAGATGTAGCTTTGGTATTATGGATTAAAGGTATTTCTAACAGGAAATTTAATGAAGCATAAAGGTAGACTTCTTTCGTTGATAATTTAAAGTAATTGTTGCTAAAGGATGGCTAAGAATACCCCTTGACTTGGTACTTTAAAAATTACTTCACCTTTTAGTATTTAAAGCTTAACTTTTGCAATTAATTTAGATATTCCTGTATATCTGTTAATATTTATCTATTATTTTGTTTTCAATTCTCTACATTTTATTATCCATGTCTTTGAATATAGATAGGTATCGCTTTATAAACATTCTCTTAAAGTACAAATAATGCAAAGTTTTTTTGATATTAATTTCCTGGTATTAAAATAAATATTACTGAATCCCAAGTGGTATAAAATATGACTGCTCTGATAGCTCCTTTATGGGTCCAAGGAACGAACAAAAAAAGGTTCTTCAGATGGCGAAATAAAGCAATTATCTGACTGCGGCTGTGTGGGTTTTCCTCCTCGTGCGTAAGTCAACTGAAAATCCGCAGACAGTTAAACGACTTTCCCTTACCAATGGCACCCACTTCACGGATATATATATCCATATGTATATATACCTTCATATTGCCGGAGATAATGTCAAATTTATTGCATTATTTTTCTCTCCTTTTGCTTGCTGTTGTTGCTGTGCATGCGTGAGTTCCCCCTTCTCCACTCTACGCCACTGTGGCCGGAGGATAGAGCCACCCCCCGGTTACACCCCCGTAACACCCAACCCCCCTCCTCGCTCCTCCCCCAGCTCCTGCTGTTGTGCATAAATCAAAAGGTAAATGGCTGCATTTTTATGACTGCGCCGCCATCGTCGTCGTTCATCGCCGTTCGCCTTTTGCGCTGCTTCGCTTTTATCACACAAACATTTCTGTGATAATAAATGCCATAAAAATGAAGAAATATGTGGTTAATTTTATGTGCTGCCTCCGCCTGCTCTTGGTCGGTGTTGCCGTGGCTTACACAGTACACTTCCTTTTTATATTCCCCATATAAATGTTTTCGCGGCCACAAATTTTCTTCCACTGCATCTGAATATCTCTCTCTTCGCTTTCCTTTACGATTTCAGTGAGAATTTCTAGGGTATATTGAGTCTATGATATGGTTTTATCCTTGGACTTTTGTATTTTTATATATTAGATATAATTTGAAAGTTCTAAAAGACCTTAAACTACTTTTATAGCACTAGGAAATGGATTCTAATACAAGAACTGGTGACCTCTTTTTAAAACAATTTTAATTGAAAGCCTGATGCTGATCCTTTAAGAGATCCTTCTGTATTTTCAGTATTGTCCTTTGTATTAGTATTTGAAATTAAGCTAGTTTTTTTATAACTTATTTTGGAATCAAATAATTAATCTTCTTTCAATTAATTAACTATAAATACTATAATGTTTCACTTTAACGAGATCTTTCTGTGTCTCTGGTATTATTTCATGTATTAAACTATGACCTCAATTTATGTCTTATGTATTAAATATTTAAAATCAAGTACTTTTTATCCTTTTACTCAATTATTTTTTACAAAACCTTTACTGGATCTATACAAAGTTCTTATAACTACCTTGATTAAATCTTAAATTGTCTCATATTGTCGAGCTTCTTAATTTCTACGATTAAATCTTTATCCATTCCCAAAGAAAGTGCACTTTTCTTAATATAATAATAAACAATATATTCTAAATTTGTATAATTATTCAAATAACCTTAAATTTAGATGTCTTTCCAAAGTTTTCGTTGCATAAAATGAAGTTATCAGAGGTAAAAGCATTTGGTTGAAAGCAAATCGCTTTAGTCACGGTATCAAGGTGTTCCGCACTTCCGCATCGCATTTTCCTTGGCTTCGTGTAATTTATAATATTTTTGTATTATTTATTTGACGCCCTCCTGCTCTCCCGCAATTTGGTAGTAAATAATTCACATACAGGAGCAGCGAATTTATGACGCTGACAAAGTGGCCATAAAAAATAACAAATAATAAGGGAATATGCTCGCGAACGTGTGTACTGTACCTGCACACACACACACACACACACACACACACTATACTATGAATATATACGTACATGTTTATTTTGGCAACAACACTTTTTTCGCTTTGTTGCACGCAAAACCGCAAATTATGTCTAAGCCGGATTGTATAAAGTATCGCAGCACGCTCTTACCTAATAAATCCATCATTTTCACCGAAGGTCGAGTGAATTTTCCTCTACCTGTCCACGGACACCTCGCAGGTATTTTACAGGAGGGTCTTAGCCATGGAATTTCGTGGTAACAAAATATCCTTTTAAATGCTCTAAATCGGGATTAAGACTGTCGCTTCTCGGTTTCAGCTTATCGCCCATATTTACACGGATTTTAATTTACTTGCCAGGGGCTTTAAGGGGTTTCTCAAACCTCAGGTAATACTATCCTCTAATGGTTAGAAAAATCGAAACAAGACCTTGTCCAAGTATTTAAATACTTGGGATTTGGTTTAGAGTTTCGGGATATGTTTAATATCGATTAGTCCAGCAAGGGGAACATTTAAAGCCAGATCAAGGTTATCCCTCATGATCAGACGAAAGTGATCAGTTTGTGTAGAACAAAGTATCTTTTAAATAAGTAACTGAATATATTCTTTTCTTATACTATTAGGTTGAGGTATAAAAGGTTCTATTAATAATAAAACATACAACAGATATAAAGAAAGTAGAATAACACTTTTTATACCCATTGCAGGTTATAATAATTTTGATCAGAAGCATTGAAACCTGTGAATTAGTCATTTCCGACCCTATATATCATATATATTCTTGATCAGCACAAACAGCAGAATCGATCTAGAAACCTAAGTCCGAAATACAAAATTTAATTTTTTTTCAAAGCTTAATAAGGGGTTACTTAATTAAAATTGTTAAAAACCGCAAAAATGTTAATTATTTGGGTAAATAAATGCAGATGCAGATTTATTTACCTGTTAAAAACTAAAATATAAATGCTTTCCAAATAAAAATGTATGCATTTTAGGCTAAGTTATTGGATTTTAATATATAGATTTGTCTTAAAAATTATCATCATATATATTATCGATAAATATCGATTTAATGACTTCGAATATTGTAAGCTTACTTATTTTCTTTTCGATCCCATAATTTAAACACAAACTGATAGGATACATAAGTTCAGACTTGTTTTTTATAAAATACAAATAGGAAATAAGTAAAATGGGAATATAAATGATAAAAAGGATCGTCCCGTGCAAAAATGTTAAAAAATTTTGATAATATTATTATTTACAAACCCTCTTATTGCATTAGGAATTTCTTTATTTTTAGTTGTAATAACCTGAAGTATTTTATTAATTAATTTGTTAATTAAGCCACAACGTTAAAGAAAATGCTATATTGTTTTACATAAGGTAATTTTTCATTTATTATTGTAAATATTATAGTTTAAAATCAATACAATGGTAAATATTTAATTTAAAAATTTATTTTTTACGCCAGTCTCAGTGGTATAATTTGCTTGAAAATATGAATCCCACTAATTCCATAATTAATGTGATTCGTGCAAAATACAAGTTAATAAATTAGGCCTGCGAAATGAGTGCTAACTGGAAAATGCAATCCGAAGGCGGCGATTAAAAATGCAGCGAAATTAACCAAGCCATTAAACTATTACCAACTTTCAAACTGCCGCAACACACACCAGCTCGATGTGTGTAGATTAATTACGCTCCATACACACACATGCGAGGAAACAGGAAAAATTGCTTGGAAAAACTTTTCGTCGCGACAACAAAACAACGATTTCCACTTAAACAGGAGCCACGAAAAATGGAATAAAAAAAGAGAGGGGAAAACCGACCGCAGAAGTTAATCGAAAAACGCTAAACAAAAGCCACAACAGCTGTGTGTGTGGGAGAGAGAGAGAGAGAGTGAGCAACCGAAGGAGGAGGGGGGCGACAAACAAATTAATTTTTATATGACATTAAAACGAGCGAAGCGAGGCGATGGAAATGGCTGAAGAGTGTGTTTAAGTGTTGAGTGGTTTGCTTTTCGAGCAACAAATCTCAGTGCGAAGACAATGAGGCCTCTGCCGCAGCGCTGCTCCGCTCCGCTCTGCTCTGCTCTGCTGCTGTTGACAGCCCCATCAAGCAAAAGAGGCACAGCAACATCTCCCCCAACCCCAGAGAGAGCCACTCTCCGCACTCAACTGTTGCTCTCCCAACGAGTGTTGCCGTGGTGCAGCCAGAGAGCGTGCGAGAGCGCGAGAGAGCTCCCATTGCCTTTGGCATCCATTGCAGGGCGCATGCGATTGTGATTGGACAAAAAGTACGCCATATTTGAAAATTATACGCTGCCTCTCTCGCTCACACTCAGCAGGCGGCTCTGCTCTAGCGCACACTTGCAGCGCTGCCAACCAGTTTTGAGCGAGCGAGAGAGCGCAGCGCTGCGAGAGAGCATGGCCGCGAGAGAACATCCGGCGCTTCGCCTCGACGGCAGCTACGTCGACAGCGGCACTCGGTCGTTTCAATTCGAATTTTGCCTTCGCCGTGTTCAGACGTGTTCGGAAAAAACAAAATAAAAACCTGAAGCCAAAAGCGCTAGCGGAGTGAAGAGAAAAAACAAAACAAAAGCAAAGCCAAACCAAAACCAAGTGAAAAGCGGTCAGTCAGCAAAAGAGTGAAAAAGTGAAATTCGGGCCCAAAACACCATTTGGCCAGCAAAAGAAAAGTGCTTAGCAAAACTAAAGTGACGCATTACGTTTACGCAGTGCTTGGATTAAACCACGCGTTTGCCGTCGCATTTCTGTGGATTACCTTCGGCGGCAACGCAACTTTCGTGGATTACCCATAGAACCAAATAGCGATCGCCGAAATGGTGGTTTTGGAGGGAGGCGGCGGTGTTGTTACCATTGGTAACAACCAGTACCTTCAGCCGGACTATTTGGCCCCGTTGCCAACAACGGTTAGTATTTGAAAAAAAAAAATACAAAAAAAAACGAAAAATATTGCCTTGAAAGTTAGAAAAATTAGAGGAAAATATAAAATTAGTTTGGAGTTTTAAAAAGTTCAGAAAATTAATAAAATTTAAACAAATTAATGTATATAAAGCAAATTGTAGTTTTAGAATGCTGGTAAACATTAAAAAATGTATTTATTGGAATTAAAATTTATTGAATTCAAGTGAAGCAAGGAAAAATTAACTTTGAAAATAATACTTAATTTTTGTCTTTCCAAAATATAATTAAATTGTTGGAAAATGCTCAATTTTTTGTCTTAACGTCCGCATAAAAAACTTGCTTATTCTTAAGAAAAAATAATTATTTTAAATCCAATTTTAAGTGTTCCATGAAATTAAACAATACTCAAGATGAAAGTTAATTTGATTTATTGCGTTTTGTGATCAGTTTTCTTTTACTTTTCTAAAAATAAATGAAATTGTTCACGATTTACGGCTTACAGTTTCGTTTCTTTGTTTACGAAATAAATTAAATTTGATAAATCGAAAATGCTAGAACAAATCATATTAAAAATATTTTGAAAACAGATTTCCCCTGAATAAAAGCAACCTTCTTCAAGAATTATTAAAAGACTAACCCAAAATCCTTCCCTTTTATCATTTTCTTCTCAATAGATGGACGCCAAGAAAAGTCCTTTGGCTTTACTCGCACAGACCTGCTCCCAAATTGGAGCCGATTCGTCGGCCGTGAAGCCTCTGCTGGCGATGGACAAGAACAAGACAAAGCCCGGAGCCTGCTCCTCGTCATCGAACTCGTCGAGTTCCTCTAGCAGCGCTGAAATTTCGGCAGCCAAGTCACCCTCCGGCCAGGCCAAGTCGCCCAAGTCCAGCACACCGATCAGCGCCACCGCCACCAGCGGGAGCACCATTGCACCCACCACCGGCGAGATCAAGCTGGCCTTCAAGCCCTACGAGACCAATGTGCTGAGCCACCAGAACCAGAACACCTTCAAGAGCAGCGCCTCGGTGGAATCCTCCGCGGAGCCCACTCGGCCCAGCTCCAAGAACTCCTCGTCCGCACAGGAACGTGTGCCGTCGCGCAGCAGGTCCAATGCCACGCCCACAGACGGCATTAAGACGGAGCCTAATGGCCACGATTCGGCCAGCCGTAAGACTGTCTCCCCCTCGGGATCGGGATCCTCGCAACGCGGCGCCAGTCCCATTGTCCGCTCTGGGATGGAAGTGCTGAGCAACGCCAACGGCACCGCCCAGCATCCCAAGGAGATGAGCAGCATGGCGGCAGCAGCAGCAGCTGCGGCGGCTGCCTACAAGGCCGCCGGTCCCTATGGCCTGAATCCCTTGTCCGCCCTCTGCTGCCCGCCTGGCATGGAGCAGCATGCGAATCCCGCCTTCCGTCCGCCCTTTGCCGGCGGCTTCTCGCACCATCACGCTGCCATGCTGGCGGCAGCAGCCAACGGTGGTTATCCGGGCGGAGCTCCAGGCGGAGGACCAGCGGGTCAGCCGAATCCCTACATCAGCTATCAGAGGATTAAGACACCGGCCGGCGGTGAGGCCATAGTGCCCGTGTGCAAGGATCCCTACTGCCCCGGGTGCCCCTACTCGGCGCACACGCAACAGATGTTAATGGGTGCTCCATGCCCCGCCGGTTGCACCCAGTGTGAGCACCAGAAGTACGGTCTGGCCATGGCCAGTGCGGCTGGACTGCCACCGGCGCACCCGTACTCACAGGCAGCGGCCCAGGCCGCGGCCAATGCGGCAGCTGCCCGCTCCGCCCCCTACGTCTGCAGCTGGGTGGTGGGCGATGCCTACTGTGGCAAGCGGTTCCAGACCTCCGACGAGCTCTTCTCCCACCTACGCACCCACACCGGCAACCTCTCGGATCCGGCGGCTGCCGCTGCAGCGCTGGCCCAATCGCAGGCTCAATCCCTGCTGGGCACGCTCTTCCCGCCGTCTGCCCTGCGTGCCGGCTACCCCACACCGCCCCTGAGTCCCATGTCTGCGGCGGCGGCAGCGGCACGGTATCATCCGTATGCCAAGCCACCGCCGGGAGCTCTGGCCGGAGGACCGTCTCCCTTCGGAGCCGGTGGAGCCTTCAATCCGGCAGCAGCTGCAGCGGCGGCTGCTCTGGGACCCTACTACTCGCCATATGCCATGTATGGCCAGAGGATGGGAGCAGCGCACCAGTAGGATGGGGAGCAAAGGAAGCACTAGCGTTAGATACCAAAAAGGAGGAGCATATGACCCTGTTTGAGATAATTTCAAAGAAACGAGAACAAAAAACAAAACAAAATGATTGCAAAGGCTGACACATCTCTGGCTTTTGCGCTATTCTGTGATACTAAACTGTAGTTTAAAGAGCGCTAGTTACACTTAAGTTCAACACGAAAATCGTCAAACCACCTAAAGAAAAACAAGAAAATAGTAGCCAGACAGCCGCAAAAAATAGCAGATCACCTTTTTTCTAATCCTTAATGTCTACAATAATCAATTCGCAAGGACACTGTTGCAAGGAGGCGGTTCTCACTCACTTTTATTTGTTCTCAAAGTTCAACCAAAGTTCTTAAGTCTTAGCCGGGACAACACGTTCGATGACTTCCAATTCTGTTAATGAAAAATCCATTGCTGAGATGTTGAAACATTGTTTTAGTTTTAGTTTCGCTATTAACTATTCTTACCATTATCTACAAGCATACAAGCAACAACAACAACCAACAATTAAAATAAAATGTTCTTTAAGTCAACTTTATAAGTAATGTAAGCATGATAAAACATATTTGTAATAACAAACAATCATAAAAAACAGAGAGAAAAAAACAAACAAAAAATTAATAAATACGAAAAATAAAAATGAATATTTCATATAATTATGTACTGTGTGTAAATTCTATATAGATATTAAATTAGATTTGCTATTTACTCCTTGATGTACGCGAAAACAAAAGCCACAACACGATCTACACAAGAAGCCACAGATATCAAAGAACACGAAAAGTAATTTAAACTAAACGGAAACACATTCGTATGAAATCGAAATATACAAGCAGAAAAAAATCAATTTTGAAAATATAAATCACGAATCTTTCATTTAACGAAATCAAAGGGGGTTGCTTCAAAAATTCTATCGTTCTTCTATGAAGGATGTTGCTGATATATTCTTATATGGTTTACTCAGTTAAATTCCATAAATATATATCTAATACATATGATATTGTTTTTGGATTATATATTCCCCTAGAACAAGTTGCGATATTCCGTGAAACCTTATCGCATTGAAGTAAAAATTTACAGGGGATTTAGGTTTCTCAGAACCTGTAGACCTCCTAAAATAACTTCGTTTTGTGCGGTGTAATGTATTTTACAATTTAAAATTTAAATTCCTGCTGGTAGAATCGTATTTTCCGCCTCAATTCGAACCGCATTCATTTCGTATGCATCGCTTCGAATTCGGCCTAAAAAACTCAAAAGTAAAGCTTAATTTGAATTTGAATTTCACGAGTGTGGCGTGGATTGGGCAAGCCTTAATAAAACAGTCGCCAGCGACAGCCATAAAACACTCTGACTGAAAATTAAAAATCAATAAAAATCACATTTGTACAAACAAAGTATGTGGAAGAAATCAATTGCCATTCAATGAGTGAATCAAATAAGCAATGAATATACACACACTCGGGAAATATATGTATAAATGTGCTGACAAAGCGAAATGACAAACATTATTCGGAGACAATATGCTTCAAAAATATCAAAATTCAAAACTAACTGACTCGACAACTCAGTAACAGCTTTAACTTCAACAATGGTCAAATCAATGGCGATATTTCGAGTGTATCTCATAAATAAATTAATTGTGACAATATTCAATTGATTTGATTTGAAATTATCGCATTTAGCTGTCAAACGCTCAACGCTCAACGGGCTTTTTTCAATTGTTTCAATTTCCAGCACAATCTTTTCTATATTGATTTTCATTCCCCCTTCGATCCACTTCAATGTTTCTTTCTGATTTGATTGCGATTCTTTGTGACCGTCAATATCGCTTGGCCCCAATACAATATGTTGCTGGAAATATAGAAATCTCAGTATTGCAAGTATCAGTGTTGTGTAATTTAAACATGAAAAAGTGTGGAATAACGACTGTATTTGAGTTATTGTGGTTGTGATGGGATACAGTGATATAATTTATTGTATAATTTATTCAAATTGGAAAAGAAGTAAGTGAAATATGTTTTAGCTATTTAATCAGTTTCCTAAATTGCCTACAAGAAATAAGATTTTCAGTACATATTATTTCCTTTTTAAGGATGGAGGTATAATAATTTCAGTAAATATTAAATTCTTGTAAAGCATTTTACTATATCTTCTCATTATCACTGATCAAAAGTGTTAACCAAAGTATGGAGAATTCTTAACTTACTTCTTTTAATAATTATTTCATATAATATCTTTAAAAATTGGAGAGAAAAATGGAAACATTCTAGAGATTTCAACAACTAAAATTGAATATTATTTTATTATACTATCGGTTTTCAGCGATAAAATTAGCTATAAATTAGTTTTTTTTAAGGTATCTTCAAATTACATGTAAATATCCTTTTTAAATATAAATATTTCATGTTTGGTTGTACTTGTAATAAATATTTTGATCTAGTACGTGTCTTAAGAAATTAATAAATAATTCAACTCTTAAATTCTTTTATAAATACATCTTAAATTAATCTTATTTTCTGTCTTAACAATTTTTGTACATGGTATGTATTAAACAGAAAAAAACCTGTAACCAATATAACTACAAATATCTGGCAAAGACAAGCAAGTGCAAGTGTATACACTTCTCAACCACATTCAAATTTTTTTTGATGATGATTATTAATAACTTTTTGATTCCCCTCACAAGTACCGTCAACAGCCCGTCGCTTGTCTCTCGCTTTGATTGTCTGTTTTGCAGCTTTTGTGTTGTTGCTGCTGCTGATCCAAATTGAATTCATTTACATGCATCATATTTCTTTGTTTTGCCCCGCTGTCCATGTTAAACAATTTGTTTTGATGTCAACACTAGCCCGGCGTCTCCAAACAGCAGCAGCAGCAGCACCACTTCCAACAACAACAACGATGGAAAACCGAAAAAACAACTTTTTGTTAAAAATAGACAAGCTCTGATTGTGTAGGCAAAGAGAGGGGGGGCTGGGTCTTGGGGACTATTTGGAGAGGCAGAGTGGAGACCACCGACTTCTCTTGAGATCTTGTCCCGCACTCAAGTTGCCTCTTTGGAGGCCGCCATCCAACCGGCTCGTTGGTCTAGGGGTATGATTTCCGCTTAGGGTGCGGGAGGTCCCGGGTTCAAATCCCGGACGAGCCCAAGTGAATCACTTTTTTTTATTATTAATGCGTTGTATATTTTATTAACTGAAAGTAGGAGAGCTCTAAAAGTACGTCATATCTTAAAAATGAAATGAAAACCTTTACAAGTAAAGTTACCATAAATTGGTTTGTCAGTTGAGTTTTGGGTTGTTTTTTATTAAGCTTGAGAATAACTAAGGGTTTTCAATGTAAATTGTATATTACAAAGTATAAGTTCTAAATATATCACAAGGAAAAATAAAGAACTTAGACTTATTGGTATTATAAGAGCCAGACACTTGAGCTATCAGATGTTGAGTCATTATTAATAATAAAGTACAAGAATCGGAGTGTTTAAAGCCATAAATATAAATATATATATGACAATGCTTAAATACTGGCAAAAAATTTTTATGGCATCTTGTGACTTTGGGCTAGCCCCCGCCTTAATTTATGACCCAATGAAAATTAATTCTAATCAAAGGTTGTGATTTTTTACTAAGAATTTCCAATTGATAGAGGTTTAAGTTATTGAATAAAGCTATGATTTAATTTATAAATATATTAAATCTATTTCTAAATTTCTTATTTTGTTTAAGGAAATATACTTAACTTAATTATACATTTTACTTAAAATAAGTGTATTTAAAACTTCTACCTACCTCCTACATATTTGATTAGATTTTGAATCTCATTCCTTGGCTTTTTCGATTTTGATTGGCTTTTTATTTATTAGCCCCGAGAGCTGAAAAGTGGTCGCAGTTATTGCCATAGGGTCATAAAATCACTTTTATTGGCCCAGCTGTATATAGAGATGTTAAAGATTAAACGTCATGAGGAGAACTTGTGTTTAAATTTACGATCAAAATAGAAAAATTTGAAAATAATAGAAATATCTCAAGACTTCTATACTAAACTATACTATGATATTTTATTGAGTTTTGTTTCTCTTTTTTTTTGTTCGCCAGAACAATGTTTCCACTGAACCGAACAATCGCCAATAAATAATATATTTTTAGATGACTGAGATTACGCGAGAATTATTTGTGGCCCTATATAATGTCGACAGCTGTTCTGTGCAGTGATTTTGCTTTTGCGAATTGATATAGAATTGCACTGACAAGTTGACGTTTTAGATTTCTTGATTTATTTGAACGGAACAGCCTAATGATTTATGAAGTGTCGCCCAAGATTAGTGAGTGTATGGGTCCTTGAGGTTAGTCCAGATTGGACGTTATATAAGCTGATAATGCCTAGAAATTATTCATGATCATCTAAATGGAATTTTGAAGATTATAATGCACAGAAAATGGAATTAATTAATATAAATATTAACAAATTTAATAAGTGTTGTGTAGCGTTGCTCGATAGATAACTTTCTTTAATGAGCAGCTAATACTGTTACTGTTCCTTTCTTTTTATTAATTATACACTTTATTTTCTGGAAGTTCTATCAAAATGTAAACAAAGTAGTCTAAATATATAATATTAAACTTGTTGCCACTCTGCATTCCAGCTCAAAAGAGTTTTATGACTTCTTCTAATAGGTGGCAAGACCCGCTCGCATGTCGCCATAAATTAAGCGGGAAAAGCAGCTGACTGATGCCCCGGGGCTGTCGTCTGGGCTAATTAACAGTTTTGTTATAAATTACACCGAAAGCCATTACAATTTTTTCTTTTTTTTCGTATTCCCAGCTCCCTCAGAGCGACACTCCCATTTCGGGGGCGTCAATCATGCGTAAACTGACACAGATGTGACATCCAGCGGGGGCCCACTGTGCGCACGGATACATTTGTATCTCTGCGTTGTGCCCACTGTCAACTGTCAACTCCTTAATAATTTTCCATAGTCTTGTTACTTTTCTGTGAAATTCACGCCCCCGCTGCGAGTATGTAGGTACCAAGACAGACCCTCTGTCAACCCCTCAACCTCACTCCATCTCGCATGCTGTGTTGTGACATTGTTGCCGCTGTTGGCCTGTTTTGTTTTAATATTTATGGCTTCCTCGTGTCATTTTCATAATGTTGCGTTTGACACTTTCCCTCTGGGCTCCACCACTCACTCAGAAGAAATACAGAAAAAATAAAAACAACCACGAAAAGACCAACAAAATCACACATCCCATTCACATTCCATATTATCTTACATTATATGGGCGGTCGGCAGGGAACTCCTGGCTTCCACTCACTTTCGGTTTTCCATTTTGCATCGCTGCCTCTTTTGTTAATTTTGTGTAAAATGTTTTTTTTTTTATTTTTGAAAATGACATTTGTAGCTGACACAACGACAACTGTCAGCAGGCACTCGGTAGCGCGATTTATTTTTGGTTTTTCGAGGTAGGTGCAAACAAGAAGATTCAAATACTGGGAAGAGATTGAGATGGAGGTGTTGAAAGAATGGGTACTTTATTATAGAATCTCAGGGAAAATATAATTATGATATATTTTAGATATTAGTCAAAGATTAGGAGTATCTGTTGCTATTGTTTTTTGAAACAATTTCAAGTTTAACGTCCTAGAACCTATTTTAAGTAAGAAATAACTTATATATATCTTCAAAAATATAGAAAATACCTTTATCTTTTTAATTACATTCTTAGCTGTATAACCATTGTTTTGATATTCAAAAGTCCCTTAAATTTGACAATGGTTGTTACCACAAATAAGAAGGAAAGTTTAGAAACATATCGTAAACTTTGAT